GTTCATAATGCTGGAGCGATCCTCTACCGTCGTGTGAAGGCTCCTGCACCGGCTGCAGATGGCGCGGCGATCCCACCTGCCCCGGCTGCTGTGCCTGATGACGCAGGACGCCCCCCGGCATCTGTGGTACACATCCCTGGTTTGCGCGCTCTCGTCGACTCGTCTCATGAGCACTTCATTCCTCCGCCTGCCGCAGTGCGCAGCGAAATGTGACCCCTCTTGTCATGCGCGTCTTCCCTCGCCATGTGCATGCTCGCGCTGCGCTGACCGATCAGCAGCGTGATATCCTCACCTTGCACAGCCGCAGGACACACTCGCTCAAGTCGCAGGATAGGGTCTTGCAGTCTACCATCTTCGCTCATTTTCCTGAGCGAGACCTGAGCCACTCTCCGATGCGAGTCTCGAGCTACTACCCCCTCAAGGCCTTCCCGCACCGCTATGCTCAGATGCTCGACTGCTATCTCCATGGCATGCCGATCTGCCAGTGTCCGACGGAATGTGATGGATGTCAGCGCGAGCTCGATCCCTCCGTTGCTGCACATCATCTCCAGACCTGCAAACGCCGATCCTCCAAGCTTCCAACGGCGCATGACAACCTTACTCGTACGATTCGGTCGATGCTGAACGAAGCTGGTCTTCAGAGCGTCATCGATACAGTGGGGGATCCTCGTTCTCGACGGCAGGTACCCTCCCATCCTCATGGCCGCAAGATGAAGGGCGATATCCACATCCCTGGAATCCGCGATCGAGGGTCCGAGAGTACGAGGGCTTGATGGCGGACGTGACGTTGGTCCACCCTGCCCTTTCTCCGTCCGCGGCCGCCCGCTTTGTGGCGGGAGCGGATCGCGTCTAAGGGATTTTCTTCCTCCTGCATGCTCCTGCTGCTTGTTGCTTGATTGCTTGACCCTTAGGCTGCTTGTCTGCGCGGCTTCGCGCTTGGGCTGGCGATGCCGCGTCTGGGTGCCAGCAGTGCTGGTTCTTTTCGGGCTTGTGTTTTGTGTGTGTTTGTGCAGCTTCTCGCTGTGGACTGTGTGCCTGCCGGTTCAGCTTGTTCCTGCTTTGTTTTGCTTGAGGCACTTTTTACCTTCTGCCAGTAAATCCTATGCCCCTTACATTGGTAGCTCTGCCGACCTGACCAAGTGGGGGGAGGTCAACCTCGACGCCCTCCATGTTGCAGCGTCTGAGAAGATTCGCAAACATCGCGCTGCATATGCTATGACTACTCCTCCTCGAGCGTTCATCCCTCTTGCCATCTCGACGGACGGTACCCTGCATCCTGACACCCATCTCGACGGACGGTACCCTGCATCCTGACACCCTCCGCTTCATCTGGTATCTTGCGGACATCATTGCTCAGCGCTCGATGCCTCTTGAGGATGCGGCGTTTGGTCGGCACTTCGTGCCTGATGACGGACCTGCTGCTGAGGTCTTGGCTCGCAAACGCGCCGCCACCTATCAGCGCCTCACCATGCAGCTGACGCTGGAAGCGCTCTTGTCTGGTGCGAGGCGCATGACGCCCTTGCGGGCGCAAGCACTCCTCGAGCCAGAGGACAGCTCCTCCTCGGACTTTGTCGAGTCGCCCGAGGAGTCTTCGCCGGAGGTCTCCGACTCCGATGGGGGACACCCTTCGAGTGGCCCCGACGATGGGCGCGGAGCTGGCGACTCGGAGGCGTCTCCGTCCCTCACTGTGACGTCGGGTGCCTCCGGAGAGCTCGACACGACTGGGGTGCTTGCTGCTGGTCCGAGCTCGCCTGCTTCCTCCCCGGCATCGGTCGGGTCACGCCGGTCCTTGGGCATTGCCGCGGCGTCGCCGCCGTCACGGGCGGCTACCGCTGACTCGGCTACCGCTGACTCGGAGGCTAGCGAGGAGGACTACT